ACGCTACCGTCGTTATGTGGGTCTCTCCAACCTCACTATAATCACTGCTCACATTTAAACCTATCCTACCCTCCCTGACAGATATCTTGATGACGATAATAACCTCATCCGCATAACTAAATCGAGTTACTGTTGTGAATGCGACAAACGTACACAATGACGAGCACGGTAACAGCGGCAGTCTCGCCAAAACAGACCGTGACAAAAAAAAAGGGGGGGGGGGGCAAGTGAACAAGCTCCAACAGCTTGCTAGAACAGACGGGAACTGGAATTAAAGCTGCACGGAAATCAGAGCGGTACCTTGTTCCTTGAAAACTCTACTCTCATTCATTTTGTCAACAAAGGTGGCATCCTAGCGAATAAACTGAAGGTTCGCATCCTTGAAATGTTGAAATATAAGGTTCGCATTATTGAAAACTTGAGCGGAAGCGATCGCGCTGTGCGTCAACGTGAAGACCTCGATTCCAGAGTAACTTCTCATATTGCGACCATTTAGACGCAGGAAAGCTTGAATTAACTGTACGAACGCAATAAAATACTCGTTTATTCATAAAAAAAAAACGAACCAAATACAAGGGGACATAATTGAGATCAGTAACGTCACTGGTATGTGCTGTGGGAAGTTGATAGCTGCGTCGTCAGCACCCTTTTACTGTTTCAGGACGATCTCTATAGGTATATACGATTGATCACGTAATTCATCGATCAACGATAACTTGTTGTGACATCTTTTATTGCCCCTTCATGTGCTGTACACGCCATACATGCATATCATATTTTGTATGGTCGGTCGGCCTTCACCTTACATGACTGTTTTGAAATGAGAACGCACTACTTAGACGCGGACAGACAGTGTGCTTTTCCTGCAAACATATAGGAAACCCTCAATATAAGATAAATATATTAACGACCTGAATTGATGCCTATAATAACTTCGCAATTCCTTATCAATTTTTTACCGCCCTACGCTTGCCCATTGCTTCGGAGAGTTATCACTCATGTGGGAGTACTACTTATTCCCTATATTTATGCGAGTGAACACAAATAGAACCCTTTTAGAGAAGCAAGGTGTGGGAGCGGGCTAGTTGGTATTCCATGTCTGAAACAGCTGAAGCGCAAAAAAGGGTAACAACGGAAAAAGAGAACAACGAGGACAAGCGCTACCTTTTTTTTTTTTTTGCGCTTCAGCTGTTTAAACCTTCGAGAAGTACGGGAGGATATGGTAAATCTAGCTCAGTAAAAAAACAACTCGTGCCACCAAATGAGTTACCAGCAACACTTCTCCCACGTGCACTTACGATTCCTGTAATGTCATTCGCTCCTTCCGAGAAACGCAGGTACTGCAGAGCACTACACGCACGAATTTCGTGCAGTCACAGAGTCAAATTCGTACAGTGAAGAGACAGATGGATCAGTTCATTTAGAAAAAAGAAGGAAACCAGCTGCACAATCTGTGCAGTATAGTTCGTATCGCATCGTACTTTATTTTCCTATCGAATGAGTAGGGCACTCGACCTTCAGAAAACGCGCATTAGTATTGAGCACCACGTAACTCAAACATTTCGCATATTATCCTACAAAATAATAATAATAAAAATGAGGCAAAGCATGCAATACTCGGCGCAAGGATTGATACAACCAAACTGGACGAGACAAATACGGGTTCTTCAAGTTAGTTTATACGCCTCAGCTAGGAGACGAGGGTCGTTTCTACGTTGATTATCAACGCAGAGAGGTTCGAATTAAGCCACAGACCGTCCCTGACACGACACGGATGCCTGAACTCCAGATACAGAAACCCACGCCAAAACCTCTCGTAGATCTATAGGTAGGTCGTCGTCATTGGCCATCGCTTCGGCGTCTTCTCGCAGCCACCGTCGGCCTTTACCGTTCACTATAGTGTTGAGCCGACTGTTGCCTCCTTCGTCTTTCGTATAAACAAGCGGTGAGTAAAGGGGAATTCACCCAATTTATGCGGCACATACCAGTTTTTGATGATGATAGCTGTGGGATATAGGCCGCACGAATTTCTGCGGCTGATACCCGCCTGTTGGGCTAACTGTTGCACCCTTCATTTTCAGTGGACGACGTGGGATTTACCCGATTTAGGTGGCACATGCCTGATACGCCACACAAGACAGGCCACATAGGATAGGCCACGCAAATTACGACTGCGTTGAACAGCTAGCCGGCAAAAAAAAAAAAAACGTTTACGTGCAATGCACATTTATATAATATAAAATATATAAAGCTTGCAAGATTGACCAATTGGACATATTAAAAATGAGTTTGTTAAATCGATTGAAGTTGCAGTTAGTGCTTGAACACTCCAAACTTCAATTTTCGTTACGCGCAACAGCAATTAAGGCCCTATACGTACTGTGCACTTGAACATACTGCTCAGTTTTTCCCGTTTAAAGTGAATGACTACGCATGCTACACTTTCAATGCAAAACATATTTTCCCGCAAGTCCCCCCCCCCCCCCCAAAAAAAAAAAATAGACAAACACTCACAGACTGTCTCTCACGAAATACTAGCGCTCCAAAACGCGTTGGTTTTGAGTCACTTGCAATCGAGAGAGTTGTAAACGGGGGGCCCAACAAGTATTCGCAATGCGTTAAGTGTGTGTGTGTGTGAATGCGCCTCTTTCTTTGTTTTTCATGCAGGTAAACACTGTAGCGAAAGTCCCACAACGGAGAGCACATATAGGACCAAATTCACCAGGGCGGTTGCATGGTTGCACCGTACACTCATTCGTCCATCTCAACTCACGAATATTTTGCTGCAAGCACTTACCTTTGCGCAATGCATGTACGCCAGGCGTCAATTACGTTATTCCAACCATCCTGAATCAATTTTTCATTTCACAAGCAGACAGAGACCGTTTGCGAGAAGCATTGCTGCAACGGCGTACCATTTCAAATGTAGAACGCTGGAGGCTACGACGTTAGTGTGTCGGAGAGTGTCTGCACTCAGCACTTCCGGTTACGGAACACGAGATATCTGCGAACAGCAGCGCTTAAGAAGGCACCTTGTGGCGCTAAGTTCAACCAGAGCAGGCATTATTAAGAGCGCAATGACCTACCATGCTGGCTACAGGTGCGTCGTAAACACACACGTTTTGTAGCTTTGGCAGAAACATTTATGTAAAGCACAAACTTTTTTCGCCCGCAGACGTTACGAAGCGTCCTCCCCAGCCAGTTTTCCTTTCGAATGCTTGCTTTGGCGATGCGCATAAGCGATCGCTAAATCTGCTTGCTCTCGGAGCTTCAGTCTTACGAATATAGTTTCGTACAATACGAGGGACCTCTGGGGGTTCGATCGATCAGCCACCGCGGAACGATGGGTAGTGCAAGGATTTGTCTAATCTCGTGCTTGACGCTTATAACGCACTTGTGCCTTCGATTACTGTTGTGACTTGGCGTTTTTTTTTTGTAAATTGATTGATCATTGTGAACTCCGTGAGCCGATTTCAATCGGCGAGCCTAAGTATATCAACGTGGCGAAGTGCTGAACTTCGTCTTGCGACAAAGCGGCTTAAAGCCAAACGGAGCTTAACAGGGGCCAAATAACGAAGATAAGACAAATTTGTGTATACGGCCTATTATTCCCATGCTGGCTCAATCACAATGCGTTGCAGCTCCCATTGACCACCAGAGCTCCTCCAAGTGTGTGTATATATATATATATATATATATATATATATATATATATATATATATATATATATATATATATATATATATATATAATGTAGGTTTATGGTCTTACATGCATATCTCTCAACGTTACAGTACTCCTAACAGCAAATGAACGGGACAGCAGCGTTGGAGATAATTTTGAGACATCTTAATACTGAATGTGCTGGAAGTTCTGTTTGCAAGAGAAAGCCAATCGTATTCTAACGAAGCCTAACAATTGTTTACTATGGCAAATAAGTGTTTAACATATAGTCTCTTGCGTCGTAAAGCAATCCGAATCATTATCATCATGTATAGAAACTACTCGCTCACCACATTCAAAATTTGGTGTGAAGCTCAACACGCAAAAATATGCATATTCACTAGATTCGCTCTTGCCGTATCTGTCTACGGAACCGAGGTAACGGGAAAATGCATACTTGGGGCTGAAAGGCTGCGTATACTTATAGCCCTTTGTTCAGACGTACTATCAAAAACGCACCTTCGAGTATGCACGGTTACGTGTAGACATGGAGGAAGCGAAAAATTCATTCTCTGCTCCGTAAAACCATGTTTTTATTCTGTATTTCTTTAAAGCAAAGCAGAAAACGCTGAGCTATTTCTCGACCATGTCGCTGTCAATGCACAGACACTAGTAATCGAATGCGGCACCATCGGTCTTGCCAGGAAACTACAAATGCGTGCTTTGGTTGAACACTCTGCCACGAAAAATTTGCGTTCCAGGTGTCATATCTTTTCTGAAACTCTTGCGCTCTTCGCATTGCGTAAACATTTCCTGCCGTCTTTTCTCTCCCCCAATACGCTTTACCTTTAGACGGTCATGTTACGCCATATAACATTTTGTACCAACCCTAAAAAAGGCTAGATGCCAGGTACACGCTAGCAACACTATTTCCCACCAAGTGCATGAGATCTATTAAGCACGTGCACGCGCACACAGGCACGCCCACTAGCGGCATTCTATGAAACAATCACTCGCTTTCCAACTGTAGTGCAGCCTACAGCGGTTACAGGCTTGTCAGCTTTACCTACGTAATAATAATTTCACATAACTCCAACTCCTCGAAGTATTATATATATATATATATATATATATATATATATATATATATATATATATATATATATATAAACCCCTAGCATGCAGACTTCGTGCAGACGCGCATGCGTCTCATGGCCAGGCGCTCGTTTTCTACAACAGAGAGGCAAGGACGTCTGCACGAGTTCCACAGTTGTGTGTGTACGTGTGTGTTCGTGACAAAATACGGGGCCAAAAAAATGAAAATCCAGACATCCCGTTCTTCCTTTTTGCCCATCTGCTTTTCTTTTCGTTTATTCGGCTCCACCACACACGAGAGGTGAGAGGCGCTTCGGGATGAAAAGGACAAATGGGGCGGACGCAGGTGACGTGGCAGCTAGCGAGACACATCCGGCGAATCTCCCAAACGTCAGGGATAGGAGCAGACACTTGCGCAGCTAGCCGGTGTGATTTGAAGGAAACCAGGCCGGACTGCGCGGCTGTGTACGCACGACCACCAGTGGAAGCATGGAACAGAGTATTCACACACAATGAGAAAGAGCGCGATCGCGCCGCCTGACACAGATGTGAACTGGGGATTGAGGGCAAACGATAGTAAAACCAATCGTCATCCCAGGAATTCGGAGCAGCCACGCGTGTAACGAAGTAACCAGCCCACGATACTACTAACGCGCTCGCGACCGGTGCTACAGCACGCAGACAACGTTAGCTTCGGTTAGTCGGCGCAACCACGCAGGAAACCCGTAGCTTGCTGTCGAGGCGAAATTTGCGTCCTTGTTGAGCGCCGGTAGCGACGAGTGGAACCTTCCGCGAGGCACCAGTAAACTATAATAATTGTTGGGGCTGAACGTCCCAAAACCATGATATGATTACGAGAGACGCCGCAGTAGAAGGCTCCGGAAATTTCAACCAATTTCGACCACCTGGGGTTTTTAAACCTGCACCGATATCGCACAATACACGGGCCATAAGCATTTCCACCTGAATCGAAAATGCGGTCGCCTCGGTCAGAATTCCATCCCGCGACCTTCGCATCAGCATTGGTGCACTAGGGCGACACCAGTTGGCCAGTGCAGTTGAACCACGCGTTTAGAGATTGTGTAAATGTTAGTTCAATAGCTACACCACTCAATTAAGAGCCACTGAGGGGTTCACATCCTGAAGCGAGTATATTACAAAGATTTATGACGGCACAGTAATGACGGCACAGTTATGACGGCACAGTAAAATTAACCATCGCTAGGGTTTTACGTGTCAAATCCAGGATGCGATCACGAGGCGCGCCGCAGTGGAGGGCTCCGGAAATTTCGACCACGTGGAGTTCTATAAAAGTGTGCCTAAGTAAACCTGAGTTTACGATCGACCGGTGGTAAGTCAAGGTGATCTTACGTTTCCAATCAGGTGTGCAGCCTGCCGCTACTAAATTTTTAGCAGCAAATGTGGAACAAGCTCGTGTGTCTACTTTACCTCAAAAACACGGCCTTCTCGCATGACGCCCGATTAGAAATAAAGCGGTTTCGGTCTGTTGACGTGAATGAAAGGTTAATTACAACATAAGAGGTAGCTCTCCCTGATGAAGGTAACATATCCGGTTGAGCATTGATAATCCGATCTGTAGTAAAACTTGCCTAAACTAAGAGGCTTGAATAAAGCAGTGAGGTGCATCTGTCTGTAAAATTACCTTCGCTAAACTCGCCGAGAGCTTGAGGAAAATGGTGATTTTTCTTCGCTGCAACGCTAGCACTTTATCGTGCCTCTAGCAAGGTGGCGAATTTCACTTTCTGTGGGAGACGACTTCCAATGATTTTTTTTTTCAAAAACCTCCTTGTATGGTAGGTACTGTCTCAGACACGCTTCACGCTGGTTAACACAGATCTCGAAGGCTACGTTTGTTTAAATCTGATCTGGCGAAAGCGCTTCGACAGCCGGAAACGCATCATACGCACCATGATTGAGACACCCCTTTAAGGGGAGGGGGGGGGGGGGTGTCAGAAATTTGTGAAACGTCTGAACAGCAACCAACATTGCTGGGAGCAGCTTTTGATAATAAAAACTGCCTGATAAGTTCAAAAGGCCAATGGCTAAAAAAAGCTGCCAATTTACGAGGCGGGCTATCGACATACCCTTCATTGCTGTGTGTTGCTGCTCTATGCAAACTTTTATCTTAGAAGCCACTCATATTTAAAAATTCTTCTAATAAAACATACACGCGCTTTTAAAATTGCTAACCGCAGGTATAAACACAGCTGATGATTGATTTTTCATAGCGCAATAAGAACGGAATGCGGGGGGGGGGGGGGGGGGCTGTAAAAAAATTGAGGGACGCTTTCTAAATCACAAAGTGTGTTTGGCGAAAGCCTGTAGCACCTGGACAGGCTACGTGATGTCTTTTCTTTTACACTCCGAGTGGAATGACACACAAACGGAATGTGTGCGTGTTTTCTTTTTCTCTTTTCACCGCGAATCACAGGGAGACGCGAGACTAATCTGCCCTCCGTTTATCAGTTTCGCATGCATTCGTATTCTCGCGTTTTGCGAATCGTGCAGACACGCCATACACGTTCCAGTGCTGAAGGGCCCGTTTATCCTCCCGAGCGAGGGGACTGTGCCAGTGGACCGGACACCGCAAGTATGATACATTAAGGCTTCCGGCTTAAAACCAGTTCTCTGTCCCTTGAAAATTTGTAGTAGTGAGAGTATCTCTCACATATCTTCACTAATGTGTCCCTCCTAAGATGGTAGAGGCCCGGTAGATAATCGTTAAGCAAAGAATAAGTCGGTATAATACAGTTAAAACAGGCGATGCACTCATTAAACGCCACAGGCCCGAAAAGCTCGCTTAGTAAACCGCGCTGAGAATTACGCCATCTAGACATACGCCCTAACGCAAGGAAGACGGTGTTTCCGCCGCAGTTGCACCGACTCGTAGACCGCGTCACGTTTTACACGGATCATCCCGATGTATACCTCATTCGCCTCGCAAAATGCCGTAAATCTCCAATCACTCTTAACGCCTAATCGTACACGTCCGTTCAATATGTACACTATACCGATCACGTTGAGCCAAGCCCAGCGAAATCTATACGACACATGCACGTCAGGGCGAAAGAAGTGTGTCCCCTCAGTCGTCCTGGAAGGCGGCCACGCTACGCGGACACGTCTCCACCGCGCGGTGGTCCACTCACCGGGCTCGGCAAGAGCCAGATGCCACGTCACCTTCACTCCACCCCGCACGTATACAGCACTACCACTACGACAGTCCGGCCGAAACGCCCCTCACCCGAAAGTCCATTCAGCGGAATCGTCTTTTTTTTTTGCCTCTCTCTCTCTCTTTTCTCGTAATGTTTCGTCGTGCCCTATATATATGATCAGCGTCTTCGTAGCGAAGCCATGGCAGGTCGCCGTGTCACTCCAGAGACGGATAATGATGAGAAGGGCGCGCGCGCGCTCGAGGATGGCGCACAACGAGAGATGAAGAACGGTTTCGTAGTTTTTGTTTTCCTTTCGCGACGACGAAGACGACCGGTGAGAGTGGGTGGGATGGAAGGAGGACGGGAGGCTCCTCTCACATGGGGGGACTGAGCGGCGTGGAGCTGTCGCTGTGGTGTGGCGGCGGACTGTAGGCCATGGCGCGCACCCCGTGGGGAAGCTGCAAAAAGACAAAAACAAGAATGCACCACAATTAGGGCTACGCAGACACATAGCTTGTTCAACGCAAGGCAAGGGTCAGTATAGGCACGCCTCTATAACGAAAGCCCCCCAAAACGCACACAGTCACAGTTTCCTACCATGCCACAGGATTCCCAAAGCATGGCTGGTAGAACCCCGAGAATCCGAATACCTGCTCGCTCAGAGGCTACCCGAATGTGCTCGCAAACGGGATTGCACGTCGCTATCTTGAAACATCTGTGTATCTTTATGCACTGTATAAACACTGAGCCACTCATCCCTCTGAAAGTTCAAACCACGAGTCAAATCGTTCTGCGCTTTGTCATGCAATATTACCAAATCAATCATCAATCACCAAGTTCACAACCTGCGCTAGCGTTCTCGGTACCTTCGAAAGCAAAAATCCTACGTCAATTAGCAAGGTCAGCTTTCTCCTCATCATCATCATAACTACGCCTGTCGCACGCCGAAGGCCTATTCCATGTTTCTCCAATGAAACCGCGGCCCTGTGCTTGCTGCGGCAGTGTTATCCCCACAGGCGCAAATGTGTTTAACAACAATGCTTAAGTTCGAAGCACCATATTCGAACCCAGCCACTGCGACGGCATCGGAACGCTCTATAGCGATGAACAGTCTCCTACACGGTTGAACAAGTACGAAACATTCGTGGTCGGTCACTGTTAAGGAACAATAACGACGTGTGCTCTTAACATGCACTTCAAGACAAACGTACATACAAAAAAAAAGTACCCCAGTGCATTCAGAAGTGAAGGTACGGAGTGCGCGCGGGGCTGTGACCGCGGCTGCACACGAGAAATTACGGGCCCAAGTGGCGCTGCCAATAGACGCAGATAGCAGTTGTAGGTTAAGACGAGCGCGAGAAAAGCGCTCCCGGGCTTCGTATACGGTCGTCCACCACGGTCTGCCGGATTCCAGCTAAGGAAGCGCGAGCTTAGAGGAGGGTGGCAGGAAGAAGCCCGCCGTCGTCCGGCAGAAGCCGTTTTCGATACGCCGGGGGCGCAGCGCCCATAAATCCCCGCAGAGGTCCCCTCGACGACGGCCGCGGAGTCCTGTCGCCGACACCGCGGACCTCCCTCCCTCCCCGTGCGCCCTTCATATAAGACGGCACATCGCTCGGGCCTTGGCTACATCCCATCCTTCGAGAACCCTCCCTCTCCAAAGTCGGCGGCGCCACGCTTCGTATCAGGCCCCGGCCAGGAGTGCCGCGCCGAGAGAGGAGCGCCATTACCTTAGGGCGGCGGTAGGCAGCAGGCGTTATCAAGCGGCCAGATGGCGTGGGTCCAGGCGGCACCGCTCTTTTCGGGGTGCCACTCGCTTCCTCTTTTCCCTGCAGTTTCGCGCAGAGCGATGTTGGACTCCCGAGATAAGCCACGGGCTCTCCCCTCTTCCCCAAATCTCCCTACGCGCCTCCTTTCCTCGTCTTTCCAGCGCCGTGTAGTTGTCGTTGGCCACAGCGGACAGAGGTGGCGGGAGAGGGGGGGGGGGGGCAAGGAACTGCGGCGAAGAATGGCCTAACCTACTGCTGTCCCTCCTTCTGTCACCTCACCTCCGAACCCCGCTGTCGTATCGCGCAGTAAGTACTGCGCCGACCAGCCTCATTTCCAAACCGGCCTATGGCGGGGGTGTCGGTGCTAACACACTCGTACGCGCAAATTCTGTGCAGCACAGTCGAGAATGAGTGGAGCAACAGATTAATAGAAATAAATGGTAAGGATTTGAATTTAGCCTAGCTGATCGCTGAGGTGCTCGTACAGTAGCTAGCGAATGAGCTAACGCTTAGGAAGACAGCAACACATACAAAGCATCGGTAGGACTTCACAAATGCTAGGAGCAGACTGCCCAGGAATCTCAGTGCAGAGCGCCGGTGCTTACGTAGCACAAAAAGGCTGACACCACCGGCGTACTTTTCCTATTTCAGCCAGCACAGTTTCCGCCGCGATGCCGTATATGAGGCGGCGAGCGGCCACGATAAGTGCACTGTCTACCAGCACAAACAGCACATGAAACTTGGTAGACGCGAGCAATAAAGTTTAATGAGTGTCACGTAAGAATTCTTGATTCAGATATGCATACCGCTCGGGTAATGCGTACCACTATAACTCCTAAGGATGACACGTGAGATTTAGGCGTGTTCTAATTATACTCGACACACTTACAAACGAGTAGTGCACATTCTCACGGCTACGGTTGTCACATTTTTTTGTTTTTTTTTTTGCCCTTTCCTCCAGCCAACGTCATGCAGACTACCAAAGAAGTGGGCCCAGAAACAGCCGGCCAGAAAATAAGTGCACACCAAGCTAGAAATGCTGTCGAGCAATTTCAACATCTCTTATGATAGGCCGAATAGACGGCAACGCAGTGCTACATATCCATGTCCACAGCCGGCGCTAGCCAAATCCGAGGTGCTAACGTACTTCTTCCAGTGTGCCACCATGACGCGAGTGGCGTACGCAATGACCCGCTGACGCAGTTCAACGCGCTGCATGCAATTCTGACGAGATGGAGCACAGTGCTGCGCTGGGCCTTAGTAAGTCCGAGGGTGATAACGGTAGGTCTGGGACGGCAGGCTTCCCTCGGCCATGTCCCTCACCGGAAGTGAAAAAGCCGTGCCCTCAAGGCAATGCCAAACAGCATCATGACCCCCTGTTCCGCTGTCCGCTCCACGTACACGCTTCCGGTGGGGGGCCAGGGAGGCCGGCACATCGAAGGTAAAAAGGGCGTCCTCGCCGCTGGCAAAGTGGTCAAATGGCAGCCACGGGTCTGAGCAAATATGGATGCGCGTGTACTGCGACGAAGCATCGCAGGTGCGTCGGTGCACCGCGCATAGTACGAATTTGAGCACATGCTTCAAAAGTAGACGCAAGGCTCGGCCAAATCAAATGTCAGGTCGCAGAGCAGAAAAAGAAAATGAGCGCGTCGCTTGTCAATTTATCGAAAAAAAAAAAAAGGCAGTTGTGTTAATTCAAAGTTCAGGCTACATAGTGCGTCATTCCAGACCCGAAGGTAAAGGAACAAGAAGTAAAAGGTATCCCCAACGGCTACCACGCAGACAAACTTAGTAAGCATTGAGTCCCACGAGCGAGTGCACTATCATTACACATTCTACTTCAGAATATAAGTTATGCGACCCCACGACACTGAATAGAAAAAAAACACAAATATAGCGTACATTGCTCGATACAGTGAACGCAAGCGCAGAAAAGCGAAAAAACAAAAACAAAATGCGGCATCAAGTCAGAAAGCCTCACCAGTTGATCCAATACCACGTAGAGAGTGTCCTGACTCTGCACAAAGAATAACTTGGAGAGAGAGAGCGCGGATAAAACACAAGAGCTCCTTAATCACCAGACAAACAACTTTAGGTAGTGGTCCCAGAGGGTCTCTCTGGCACGCCTTGTGTTGCGGTAGTATTTCGAGTAGGAGAAATCTCCATATAATCGCTTTAAAATTACCGCTTCCAGATGTTCTGACACTGTCGGCGATTAAAATTTCAAGTGCGCCGCCCGGATCACTCAGGCGAAAAAATTCGAAACGTCAGAGTCACCGAGGAAAGCCAAGCACACTCATGACGATTAAATATTGGTTGTTTAAAAGGCATAATTCATCGACTTATTAAGTTCAGTAGTAGATGTTTCGATGTAATCAAACACAACATATGAAGCAAGTGAAATTGTCGCTGAAGACGAGCAAGAACATGACAGTGAGGATACATGTTATTTTATGTGACGAGAGTGAGTGAGAGATAGTCAAAGAGTCGAGGAAGAAAAACTGCGTGTTAATTTTACGGTGGTTAAATTTACGTGTTGTCATTACTGATTGTTATATTGATTCTTGTCATGTGCAGGAGATCATACTTTTATTTCTAACAACGAGACCTCCTTTTGAATATTCCTTGTGCGTATAATTATCACCATTTATTAATACCATTGAGCTTACTCCAATTCTGAAATATAGTTTCACAGAAGAGCCTTATCAACCAAAAAGTATTACAATAGCGTGGGATACTCATTCAGCTGCACAGTAGAGCACATCTGGGACCTCTACCTCAGCAGCGGACGGAGCCCGCAAGAGCAAAGCACATAACTCTCAAGCAGCGCAGACGCAGAACGACAAAAGAAAATGCCACGAAGAGAACATGTCGCTCTGAAATTTCATCGCAGCCGCTTTCGAAATCCCGAAACGACATAATAACGCGGCCCGAGAAGACCGTTTTCGCGCCCCACAAACGACATAACGGGATCATCTCGGCAAAGCCTCGAGTTTTTAAAAGACTCCTCATAGAAACAACCAGCTTCCCTCCTCTTTTCACTCGTCCGTTCGCGTGCCGAGCGCCAGTCGTCTAGAAAGTATTGAAGCGCAGTCGGCATTAGGAGAGCCATACGTCAGGGCTGCTAGCGGGGAAAAGAACGCCAGCTCTGAAAAAATCAACGGTCCTGCATCGTGCAGAAAGAGAAATCTCGGCTAAAGAGCCTCTTCGGCTGCAGTAATGACAGACAAGGCAGGGTGTGCACAGAAGGCAGACTCCCCCCCTTCCCATCTTCAAATGCGAGACTCGGGAATTACTAGCTCGAACGGAGGAAAAAAAAAAGGAAAAAGATTTAGACGAAAATCTAGAAAAAAATATACCGGCGCAATATGTCAGCGATACAACTTCTACCAAGACGTCATCGTTCTGACGCATACTGCTGCTTCTTAACAGCGACGAAAAATGAGGCCTGTACTCAGAGAGAGAGAGAGAGAGAATGCAGTACAGAGCATGATGAGAAAGCGTCCAGAGTCGAAGTGAGGGTTGCTGCAAGCGTGAGAAAATGAGCAGCACAAAGCAAATGACGCCAGAAAGGCGGGAAATTATTAGGGAACCTGCTCGTTTTTTGTCGTGTACGACGACGCGACACGTAAGCAACGATGCAGCATGCAGGCCCTCCTTGGCGTCGACGCGCAGTGTCGGAACGACATGCC